AAGGCACGAGTGCGTTCCCGCCGCGCCGCCCCCCCCACCGGAACCCAGCGTGACGGCACATGGTATGGAATACCGGGCTCTGTTTGGCCAGGTGGGGTCAGCCCCCACCCCCCGGCTGTGCCCCTTTCTGGAGTCCGGTGAAAATTAACCCTGTCCTGGCCAAACCCAGGACAGTCATGTTGTGTGCAACTCCCAGTTCTCAGTTGATCCAGTTCGTAAGACCTTTTGGTCTCTGTGGAAGAATGAATTGGGAAATTAGCTTTCTCCTTTCCTCTTAAGTGGTTGAAAATAATTTTCAAATGTATTTAATCATGTGAGTGATGTATCTCTGTAGTGATGACAGAGATAACATGGAAGTTTGTCCTTATAAGACTGTGTTTTTCCTGTCTTGGTGAAAAAATACACTGCAACAGTGTCAAGTCATTCTTCTAATTTATGATAGCTGTCAGATGATTTTAAGAGCAATTTTAAGAGCAAAGAGAAGAATCTGATGATTCTACTGTTTTCTTTGGGAAGGTGACAGATTAAAACAGTATGTTCTCTCTGGTTTTAATTTCCTGTGATGTGCCACTCTTTTCTGGAAGAATACAAACAGCACTTCTGACCAGAAATTTGCAGAGGTGTATATAAATCTTACGAAGTTGTTGTGGTGTATAGAAGATACAATTTGCTGCACATGGGTTTTCAGAGTCTATGGAGCTGACTTACAAAATTCAGAGATAAATGCTTTTTTGTATTCTTAAGCTGCTGAAGTTTATTTGGAATATATTATCAAGATTCTTAAAGTCTTGAACTTCTAAGTTTTGCATTTAAAAAGAAAACCACGCCACTACTTCTTAAATCAAATAAAGAGAGAACCTTAATACAGTTAGGAAAACAAGCTGCACTTGAAGTAGCTGAAAAGATCAGTTCCACTTCCAATGTTGTTAGGGAAATTACATTTCCTGGAATTCTTTTTATCTGGGAGAAGGAAGGCAATTTCAGTCTCATTTATTTTACTCATGGAACATGTATGTTTGCAGACATGGAAGGCATCATACCATTATGCCATCAAACGTCAATTACCGTGCCAATATCTGGGCATTAAAAGAAGAAAATTGTTCACATGTTTTAGTGAGTACTGCCTGTGGTTCATTACGAGAGGAGATACAACCTGGTGATCTTGTCATAATTGACCAATTCATTGACAGGTGAGTAACATTTGTTTTTTATTGTGTTCTTAGTTTTGGGGGAGGGAAAAGGGCACAAGTGGGGTTAAACCATCCAATAATGTATAATGTTAAATTAATTTTTTGTGGAGTGAAGTGATAGCCTCAGTTCTTATGGCAAAAGGTGAGATTTGTACAAGAAGCCATGCTAGGAATGAGATTACAAGAAGTTGAGCTCTGTCAGACGTAGAAGAAACCCAGCTTTGAAGAATGGCCTTGAATGAAGTAAAGTGTAGCTCCTTGGGAAGAGTCTTCTGAAGAGATCTTCTGTTCTCAGATGTGGGGGAGGAACATGGATAAGAGCACAGGCTGTTGTAAGTTTTAAGAAGAATCTGAAAGGAGCGGGGGAGGTGCATGAAAGCATTGTAGGAGGCGAATAGGAAGATATAGGCAGTAATAATGAGACACTACAGAAGAGAGATCAAGTGCAACACAGTGGGGAAAGAGAAGAGGTTGTTATAAAACAAGGAGAGATGCTAACATTTTTGATTGGCTAAGTAATTTTTTTGCGAAGTCTGTGTGCTCCAGTCAGTACTCCCCTCCTTGATTATCTGATGTTCTGAAAAAATCAAGCAATTGGGAAAAAAAGCGCTACATTTAATGATCACCAGCTACACCAAATGTTTCAAAAATATGGTTGCACATTATAAGAGGTAAATTTATTAACAATACTGGTAGGTGTACTATATCTGGAAGTCTCATTTGTCCAATTTTAGATGTTTGGAATGGTTTATGTAGCTTCTTTGTGATGTTGTTCTCTGCAGTGCTGTTCAAGTTTTGACTTACATTTTTGTGTGTGCATAACTGAAATGCTTTCTTTTGTAAGAGAGTACATTTTAAGTACAGCGTATCTAGATGACTAAGTACCCTGCAGGAGCAAGCCCCAGGTAAACTGCTTCGTGTTGTACTAGAGTTGAGTTATGGATGGAGAGCAGCGGTATTGCTGACAATGGTCTCTTTTATTTCTTTTTTTCAAGTCTAAAAGTATTTAGACTGATCACTGTTTCTACAGATTAAATCATAGCCATCCTTATTCTGCCAGTAGTACTTGGAAATGAGTAATTTTAGTATTAATGCTGATTTATTTAGGAAAGATATTAAACACACTTCTGTACATGATTTAGATGATTGCAAGTAAAGCATCAGTTATTTTGATGGCATTATCATCTGGCAGACTCCTAGGTAGGTGAGGGAAGCATGACCATGCTAAGTTGTGAATTGCATGCATGGTAAGAAGTAGCCTCTGGCCTGCAGTTCTAAACAAGAAACGTTGTAAATGATTGCAGAGTTATTATCTGCTATGGATGAGGGTGAAAGTATGGAGAAACTAACTCTTGCAGAGATCAGGCAGAAAGACATTAACAAAGCCAGGAAATGAACCCAGATACGAAATCTGAGACCATCCTTCATCCAATATGTCATTATGAAAATTTACAATTAATTTTGAAGCCGGCTAATCTCCTCCCACAGTTTTACATTTCCCAGCACTTGCCAGTCTGCATCATGTTTTCTGAGCTAGAAAGGAAATAATCAGCTTGGTGAAGTTTGGGTTTTGAGAACATGTCAAGAAGAAGGAAAAAAAAAAAAACTGTTGTTGAACAGGTCAATGTATTTATCTGAGGTGAAGGTAAGTGAAAGAACAGGAATCATTTATGTTGGAGCAAAGAAGGCAAATAGTATATTGGACTGCATTAGTAGGGACGTTGCCAGCGGGTCGAGGGAGGTGATCCTTCTTCCCCTGTACTCGGCACTGGTGAGGTCACACCTGGAATGCTGTGTCCAGTGCTGGGCTCCCCAGTGCAGGCGGGACATGGGCATACTGGAGAGAGTCCAGCGAAGGGCCACAAATGTGCCGAAGGGACTGGAGCATCTCTCATACAAGGAAAAGCTGAGAGATCTAGGACTGTTCAGCCTGGAGAAGAGAAGACTCAACGTGGAGATTATCAATGTGTATAAATACCAGAAGGGACCATGCAAAGAAGAAGGAGCCTGGCTCTTTCCAGTGGTGCGCAGTGACAGAAGAGGTAGTGGGCACAAACTGAAACACTGGAGGTTCCCTTTGAACATCAGGAAGCACTTTTTCACACTGAGGATGACTGAACACTGGCACAGGTTACCCAGAGAGGTGGTGACATCTCCATTCTGGGAAATACTCAAAAGCTGCCTGGGTGTGGTCCTGGGCAACTGGCTCTAGGTGGCCCTGCTTGAGTGGGGGGTTGGCTCAGATGATTTCCAGAGGTTCCTACCTACCTCAGTCTTTCTGTGATCTGTGTCTTCATTTAGAGTTGATTCAGATACTCCTGAGTAGTAATGAAGTAGCCTGTATGTGAGCAGCATTTAATTTGGGCAAGTAAGTTTTCATTTCTGAGTAGAAGAGTGAGGACTTGTTTCATGGCTTCAGGAAACTAACAAGCTTCTCAGAAGAGCAAGTGAGAATGTTTCGGTGTGGAAAGAGATAGCTAATATAAATTTAAAAATCATTACTAGCTTGCCCTATAATTCATAAAACTGACAAGTCATAATAGTCTGTTTTGTCTGACAGTTTGATTTCTGTGGTAAGTCTTTTTCCCTGATGGTCTTTCCCAGTGAGTGTTAGATTGCTGGTTCTTCAGAGGTAGGGTCTGCATTTTTGCTTTTCACAGGGGTGTATCATCTGTAAGAGTGATTGCATTATACGTCCTAAGACATTATGAAAACTACTGCTGATGGGAAGAAGGTTTCATGGGTCCAAATAGACCAATTGTCCACCAAAGTTGGAAAACATGCAATTTTTGTGAAATACCTTCTAATGAAAGATCATAGTCCTGCAAACAAACCATGTCAGCAGTCTTAGGAAAAAGGTACTGGTTAAAGCTGCAAAAACCATCAGTTATTTTTGTTGAAAGGTACCCTGGCTTCTGCATGGTGATTAACCCATGCCAGGCACTACACAGGAAAGAGGCTTGTGTCTAGGTGGGAAGGGTTTACCTAAGCTGCCATTAAAATCAGTGCCTTCGACGTGTCCAGATACCTTTTGGTATGAGGGCTCTAATTCTCTGTAGGGACGACATCATTATTCTTCTTTCAGGCGTGAAACAAGAAGGGTTAATAGTGAATGGGAATGGGAGAAGAACTAGAATTGAGCAGAAAGCTGTAGGCAGCGATTGTAATTTGCTCCCCTTGGGCACGCATGCTGTGGCATTAATAACGGGTTCTCAATATGCGGAGTTGTGTAGGACTTCTGCCTAATTTAGGGCATAGGTTTCGCTTGTGATTAGGAATAATGAATAGGTGTAACTAGACCTATGTAGCATTTCCAAACTTTTGAGAGCTTAATTCTGCAGATCAGTAGCACTTCTAGTAAGTATTTGATTTTGTATAGAGAGTCTCTGCTTTCTTCAGGCCTATCTATTAGTATGTCTGTCTAAACAATAAAAGATAACATTTTGTTAAATAAGTACCAAAATATTTACATGATCTTCTCCCTGCTTCCAGATCCAAAAGTAATCACAGGTACTATTATGGGCTAAAACAGCTGTTCTATTCTGTGAAACAAGTGCCTAAAAAAAATGTGGAATAAATTTTTTTTTATGCCTTTGGCTCCTGTTAGTTTATTACAGTGCTCTTAGTCGACTGGCTAGATCAGACTGATTGCGGGCTTGCTAATACTTTGTGTTGCTGATGATGTTTGCTAGGAAAAGAAGAATAAGAAGCTAACTACTTATTTGTACTCAGCTCGAGAAGATGCAGAAAATAGCTTCATAAAAGAAATCCTGTGACAGGTCCCACCTTTATTGTTTGGATTCTTTGTGTCACATACAGCATTACAATTATTACAGTATTGTTACGCTCCTTAAAATTTTTCATAGAAGATTTTTCTTTGACTGTTGCTGAAGAGGCAGAGCATGCCAAGGTGACTTTTTATATAGCAGGTGCCAGCGTGAATTTTCATTTTGTTCTTTAATTACTAATAGCTTGTTGCTAATTCAGCACTATTGGAAGAAAGGGGAAGGTGATGGTGCAAATGGTAGTGGACAGTTTGTCACAGATGGAAATGGTTGGTTTGCTCACTTATTTGAGTTGGATTTTGCTTCTTAGCATCAGTCAGAATCAGCATTGCCAGAAAATTTTGTGTGACTGTGATAAAATAAAGATGAAGGAGCAAAAGCCATCTTACTGTCTGATTAAAAGTGTGGCTATGGCTGCAGGGTGGGGAATACAAACTCTGGGGACACCTTCAAAATTGCAGTACGTGTAGCTCTGAACAAGCAGTAAGGGGAATGCAGGCATGGCACAACAGTGCAAGGGTTTGCTTGCACTGTGAGTACCGCTGTCTCCTTGAGCTTTGTACACAAGCGATTATGCATAAAAACATACATGTTCCTTTCCCAGGGAAGGAGATCACTTTTCTCCTGTACTGCCATCCACTGTTTGGCCCAGAGGCAGCATGAAGGTCCGTTGGGGGTGCTCCATAGAACCCTGCAGAGGTCAGACGGCCAGCAGGAGCTGCTTGGTTGTAGTTATCAGTCCGATGCTTTCAGGTGCTGCTTCAGATCTCCCCCACTGGGAGCATCTCTGTACTTTCCCTTTATGCTATGTTTGATCCTTCTGGATCATGCGCTGCTACTACGAGTAGTGTGGCTAGCTTCTAAGCAGGTACTTGGTGACTTCTTCCTGTCTTAATGTAAACCATCAGGCAATTGTATAACATTCAGCCGGAGATGTTCTGCTCTGTTGTTAAGCAGGCTCTGCTTCTGATGGAGGGCATGCAGACTTCTCCACATTTAAAACTGTGAGATCTAAGGAGCAGATTGTCTTTGAAGAAAGGCTATTGAGTTCCTTAATGTTTCCTACTGGCTCCATAAGGAGTCACTCAAGGTACATGGGGAAGGTCTTGAAACTCCTATAATGAGAGGAGCTTTAGGCAGATACTGTAATTTGTTCTGTGTCTTTTCATCTCTGTGACAGGAGGGAAAGGAAGGCATCTGTGATTCTGTAACCTTTGTGCTCTCTACAATGGATACAGAGAAACGGTATTGCAGCGGTGAAAATTACGTGCTGCTGCCCTGTACCTCGCAGACAGCTGAGTAGGACACATCAGGATGGCCAACTCCTGACTTCAGTAGCAGGGCTGCAGAAAAGAGGAGAGGCTAAAAGGCATTCCTCTATGCCAGCCATTACTTCATAGATAGCAAGAGTCAGAGGTTGGTTCAAATCTGCCTTTATTCTCACCCTAAGCCTGGCAACTTATGGACACGTCAGCTGGCCCCATATCGAATAGCTGTGGCCTTTGCAGAGCCGCAGCCCTCCATGCAAAAGAGGAAATATGGACTCTGAGTGCAAACTCATGCGGTCCATTGCTCAGACCAGTCATAGGTCTTACCGCTGTTACTTATTCCCATGCGGTTTGTAGGTATGGTGCTAAACATGTAGTGATGTGTGTTCTGCCTTAAGAATGTAGGGTATCTGAAAGTTAGAGATTAGTATTTATACATACGTGATATTTCCTCAGGGCTTTTCTGAGTGAAAGGGCCTGACTAACAACATCTGAAATACTATACTGCAGGAAATGGATTATGACTTTTCCCATTTCCTCCAATTCTAAATAATTCATTAGAAGACACTGGGGGGGGGAAGTGTGTAAAATCATATACATTCTAATTGCAGCTCTTCAGTATCCCGTAAAGGAAAAATTAATATTAGCGTTTCAACCAATTTTAACAGCTGTATCCCATTTTGCATATGTTTTTGATTTGCTCATCTCTTTTCCTGTTTTATAATCTCATCCTGAAGGCTACCCTACTGGTTCTTTTTTTTCCAATTCTACTCTAACATGTAACTTGTATTTAAAACCTTCTTTTAAATATTTGCTTGTGACTTGAGTGGGGAAACTGTTGTGACTAGTATCACCAGCAGAAATTTTGTATTTTAACTGTGAATTGAATTGAATTTGTCTGTTACCTTACTTTTCTCCTATGAAGTACAAGATGTGACACACTGGGGGGGAAGAAGGGAATATCTCAAATAATTTTGTTCTATAGGTTTTTGTGATCCAATTGGCTGAATTAGCTTGAGGCAGTGCATTTGAAGGTAAAGGGATGGTGGGCAGCAGTTCCAGTAGTTGTCAAAGTGGCATGGTGGATGGTAATTTCTGCAGTATGTTTGACCATTTCCATGCAAGGAAACAGTTTCTCAAATGAAAGAGGGGAAATAAAGGATTTTTCTACTTGCAAGCTGCCAATGCATGTGTATAATCTTTCTGAGAATATGAAGACGTTCTGTTCCAGGGTTTTTCTGGTTGAGTTCACACCTCTTCCGTTCAGGAAACTGGTCTTATAAATTCCCACCCTTTCAATATATGAATGCAATGATATGAACAAGCTCTGTTTTGACTAGCTTTGTGGTAATTCAGACTTGATTCCTTCCCTGCCTGAAAGCTTACTGTGCTGGTTTTTTTCAGAAATTAACTTGCCTGACTATTAAATTTAGCTGATTTCTTTTGGGTAGAATTGCAGCATAATGTGACTGCTTGTGTAATTTAGGGATAAATCAGCATTTCAGTGTCTTGTTAACAATCGATTTTCTCTAATTGACAGTGCACTACTGGAGTAACACTTTTATACTCTTGAGCTCAATTCTGATAAGTTTGTACAGAGGCAAAACAGGACTACAGGTGGTCATTAAGGTTGTACTGATATTTTTGTTTCCTCAGGAATGCTATTGTTTTGGATTTGTGTAAATTTCTTGCTTGCTCTTCTGTTTTCTGCATGTTCTTCTCTCTGAGCATGTTTTCTGCTTTTCTAGGACAACTAAAAGACATTGTACTTTATACGATGGTCAGCATTCCACTCTTTCAGGAGTATGTCATATTCCAATGGCAGAGCCGTTCTGCACCAAAACCAGAGAGGTTAGTGAATGTTGTAACAGTGTTTAGAAATGTTGGTTTTATGGCACTTACTCATAATATAGTCGTCTAATTATATATTCTCAGAATACAGACACCACCTACACCTCTTTGTTCCTGTTTCTCAGATATATTGTGGTATTAAGGAAGAACGTAATATTTAGAAGGCATGGGGAGTAAAAGACCTTATGTCTATAGCAGCTGTCTTCCTAAGGGAGGTATGCAGAAGATGTTATTCTGCAACCTAGATTCACCCAGGGTCTTAATAACAGGGCAAAAGATCTTTATTTATCAGGTAACAAGCCAAGAGAGCAACAAAGTGGACAAAGCAGGAGGATTGAATTAGGAATTAGTTCCTTTTTTGTTCTGAATAAAACTGCACCTATGGTAGAGGCACTCTACATCATACAAAAAAATAAATAAATAGTACTTTAGCATTCACAGAAATTACAATATTGCAATTGTGCTTTTTGTGCACTGTAGCAGTGGGTGGGGATCAAGGCTGAGTTTAAAGGATGTTAAACATAGAAAGAAGCCAAATTACAGTAGCCTTTTATTCTTAACTGTTGCACTTAGTTTTGTCACTTCAAGATTTTCAGGCTTCAAAAACACTGCTCTGTTTTTCAACACTTTTATAAGCTTCGTGGAGGAGTGTATCTGTGATTAAATATGCCACCTCAGCATATTCTTAGACCTCAGGAAAAAGGAAGGTGAAGACTGAACTGCACATTTTGTGCTGTTGTGTAATGCTGGGATCAGAAGCCACAGGGAGGTACACTCTCCAGGGGCACAGGAAAGCTTACAGAATCAGTCATACCCATCTCAGAGATGTGCTCTCTGTGTAGTCAGTTACTACACTGAGCAGGACAAAGGTGAATTGTGAAGCAGGTGGCCCAGTCTGTACCGAGAGCAGTACAGACATTTGTACTACTGAGCTATTCCACTCTTGTCACCCGTTCACTTCAGTGTCATCATAGGCTATGTTTGTTAACTGGCCTCACACAGTGTGGTTTCGAGATACCTACCAGCAGGTCCTCCACAGCACCGTTAGCAGAACAATGCTTCAGTGTGCTGGGAATCAAGGTGTTTTGCAATAAAGACATTTTGAATCTCATGAGCGAACAATCAACTACATATTATACACATGCATGCTTTTGCACTGCTTCCATTAGGCAGCAAATTATGCAAAATACTTTGCATTTTTCCTGCAACAGAAGCCTAGCCACATGCACTCACCAAGGATTAGTTGCTTACTGACTTTGAGCATGATGTCATGTCACAGCAGATACAAGGAGTTTGTTGAGAACTGACTGTACACTTTCTGAAATGGATTGAAAACAGTGTTATTACTGAAGGGATTGGCACAATGTATCTCTTTCTCATGTTTTAAAAAAAGGTAAGTAGACACGTATAAGCTGTTTCCTGAGGTTGCAGGAAACATATGCCAAGGCTAGTTTTTGTTTGATTGTTAAGTAGCTAATGTTCTTTGGGTATTACATTTTTTGAAAAGCCAACAGAGAAATGCTCCTTTTCAAACAGAGAAAAAACATTTAGGTACTTCCCAATCTCACATGTGATCATTATCTCACTAGCCTGTGCATTCTAATCAGCCTAACAGATGTTTTAAAGAACATGTGGTTTTGAGCTCTTAGCAGGCTTAAAAGGGATGCTTTCACTTCATTTGAAAATACCAAATAAAAGTGACTTAAACTTTTTTCCTGGAACTATCCCTGAAAATTGTTGGGATCATTTCAGCCCAGTTTATCCTAATTCTGGGGAATTTCATAGATAAGCACAATAATAATAAAGCCAAAACTATTAATGTAATAGACTAATAAAGGAATTCTGCATGAAAACATATGAAAACTTTATATTAAATTGTATATGTGTAAATACATGAAAATACTCTGGGTTGTTTTGTTTATGCACTATAAATGAGAATCTGAAAGGAGTTTATCTTTTCTCTGACTGCAAACTTTTGAGTAATGTATGGTGCTTTGTTTATTAGTGCTCTGAGAAATTGGGGTTCACTGCAACATCATAAAGCTGCAACTTGGTAAAGATTTTCAGGGAAATACTGCTCAACTGTGGTTGAAGCTAAATCACAATTCAAGCTGTCTATTGATTTATTAACAACGTGTAGTTAACTGGCACTCAGTGAATCATACATTCAGAATGAGTGTCAGCAATAAACCACAATCTTAGGTGTGATTAATGTTAGGTTAACTTACAGCATATTAATAAATACCTACAAATTGCTAAGCGTCCTTCTGTGGCTAATCCCCAGAAGCTCTGCTTTACCCTTACACACGTATTCACACATATTGCATGCACAGACACCCTTCCACTGCGCACGTGGGTTCCATGGACACCCACCCTCTTCTGGGAGTGCAGGTTTACCTGTTTACAGGCACCTGTAGTGGGAGATGTGGGTAGTCCAGCGTTATGTGTATTTGCACTGCTCCACACAATCCACTGATCCACATGCCAGTGAGGAGGCATCCCACAAGGTTACACAGCACACTCGAGGTGTTACACCTGCCTGTGGCAGGTTGGCCGACCGGCTGGGCTGCAGGCTTCTCTCAGCGTTTTGCAGGGACGCAGCTACACTTGGCCTGAAGGCAGCTTCCAGTGGTGCCTGACTATGTATTCACTGCTGCTGTGTTATGAAGGTCTGTCCTGTCATGTCACAATTTTTCAGTTTTTTGTGCTGCTTTTATACTTCTTTTCAAGCTTTTCTTGTCTGTTAGTGGTCATTTTTAACAGATGTCATCACAGTTACCCTCCTGTTCCTACTCAGGACAGTTACGGGTGTCCTAGTCCCGTTTACACATAGAATCATAGAATAGTTTGGCTTGGAAGCGAGCTTACAGATCATCTAGTTCCAGCCCCCCTTGCCATGGGCAGGGACACCTTCCACTAGACCAGGCTGCTCAAAGCCTCATCCAGCCTGGCCTTGAACACTTCCAGTGAGGGGGCATCCACAGCCTCTCTGGGCAATCTGTTCCAGTGCTTCAACCACCATGCTCAGAGTAAAGAATTTCTTCCTTATATCTAATCTAAATCTGCTGTCTTTCAGTTTAAAGCCACTATCCCCTGTCCTATCACTACATACCGTTGTAAAAAGTCCCTCTCCAGCTTTCTTACAGGCCCCTTCACATACTGGAAGGCTGCTATAAGGTCTCCCCAGAGCCTTCTGTTCTCCAGGCTGAACAGCCCAAACTCTTTCAGCCTGTTCCCATAGGAGAGGTTCTCTAGCCCCCTGATCATTTTTGTGCCTGCCTCTGGGCCCACTCCAACAGGTCCATGTCTTTCCAGTGCTGAGGGCTCCAGAGCTGGATGCAGGACTCCAGGTGGGGTCTCACCAGAGCAGAGCAGAGGGGCAGAATCCCCTCCCTCGACCTGCTGGCTACGCTGCATTTGATGCAGCCCAGGGTATGGTTGGCATTCTGGGCTGTGAGCGCACATTGCCAAGTCATGCTGAGCTTGTCACCCAGCACCCCCAAGTTGTTCTCCTCAGGGCTGCTCTCAGTGCCTACTGTATCAACTGATTTTAGCCTGGCGATTTACCAAGAAAGTAAGTCATGGTGATTCTGCCATATACAATGTTCTAGCTGCAACTATAAAGACTAATGTGAAGTACATGGTGTGTGTAAAGTGTATAGCTCCGTCACTGGGTAGGAAAATGTGGTAACAATTTCTCTACACATTCCCAGGTACTCTGAAGTAAGTGCTTGTAGAGTTTTACTTTGAAAAAGTAAATTTCCTATTACTGTTCTTACCAGCTCAGCTCCACCATGTGGTAATGTTAGTGCTCAGTGGAGCATTTTCACCGTTGTTTTCTCAATGTCAGCACAGCCTAAATATCAGGCAAAAAAATTCTGGTTTCCATTCATCTTGGTCTCCACTGTAAACAGTAATCCAACTGATATGAACAAAATCAGATGAGTTCAGGATCATTCCTGTTAGTAGGACTGTTAATTTATCTGCTGGATAAGGAAACTGAAAGTTTTTTGATGCGATGCAAAAGCAGTGCACCAGGGGAATTATTTTCTTTTTCTGATATTGGCGTGTTTTGCAGGTTCTTATTGAGACTGCCAAGAAGCTTGGGCTCCAGTGTCATTCCAAGGGGACAATGATCACAATTGAAGGCCCACGTTTCAGTTCTCGAGCAGAAAGCCTGATGTTTCGCAGCTGGGGAGCTGATGTTATCAACATGACCACAGTGCCTGAAGTGATTCTTGCCAAAGAAGCTGGAATGAGTTATGCCAGTATTGCCATGGCAACAGATTACGACTGCTGGAAAGAACATGAAGAAGCAGTGAGTGAAACTTTTTTTTCCTCCGAGTCTTGTCCTGAGGAATCTGGATGAGAACCTGTAGGTTTTGATAAGAGATCACATACTGAACCTAATCTGTTCTAGCTTACATCTGTATCACTGAGTTACTCTGAATGATTGTGAAAGTAAGAACAGAATCAATTGTTGCTACCTCATTCATTTTCATAAACTTACCTCACTACTAGCAAACCTTTTGTCTCTTCTTGTCTGAGTCGAGGGTCCGTGTGTATGAAGCTCCTGAGCTCTGTGTACGAGCTTGCCTTCCCGTAATTGGTCTGGTGTTTTTTCTTTTGCAACTCTGTGCAAAATTATGTATCTGCTTTCGTTCTCTGTCTTGGGTTCAGCTGGTTAATTATCACAGGAAGCTGGTTGTGCTGACCCAAACCAGCCAGTCAAATGGGATATTCTATAGCATGTGACATCATGCTCAGTGTTTAAGTGGGGGAGCTGGCTGGAACACGGGGATTTGCAACTCAGGAGCAAGCTGAGCATCGAGTGGCGAGAAAATTGTATGCTGTGTATTATTTTTATCCGTGTTATTTTTGTTATTTTCTTCTCCCTTTGCTGTTCTGTTAAACTGTTTGTATCCCAGCCCACAAGTTTTACCTTTTCCTTCTGATTCTCCTCCCCATCCCACCAGGACAGGGGAAGAGCGAAAGAACGACCGTGTTGTTCTTTATTGCCCGCTGGGGCTCAACCACAACAGTCTTCTGTTTGTGTAAAATACTGTCAGACATACACCCACAGAGGAAAGAAGTTTTTACTGGCCAAATTGCTTGTGGCGTTTTAAGACATCATCTTTTCACTTAGAGATGTACGAGTGAAATTAATTTATTTGAGTATTTAAAATGTGTGCCATCAAAATTGAGAGACATCACTCAATTTTATTGTATTTCTAGGTTTCAGTGGATAAAGTTTTAAAGACGCTGAAAGGAAACGCAAATAAAGCTACTAGCATACTCCTTACTGCTATACCTCAGATAGCTTCCATGGAATGGACCGACACCCTGCAAACCCTGAAAGTAAGTACATACATGAGGCTGATGAGTACTGGGGACAATGTATGCATATATACACCTAATACACGTATACATTCTGAGATGTTTCTGCTTAAATAGTGTCTTCTTAGAGTAGATGCGTCAACAAACCAAATCCATTCAAGACAGGCAAACAAATTAATTAAGACTTTCACAAGCTTTATTGCAAAGATCTAGTTTCAGTTTTACGAGAAGTGATACAAAAGGTAATAAAATTAAGGACGTCTATATATGGTTGATGAAGTGTAATCCTTCGTAGCACAGGTAAGATACAATTCTATGTGAGTATCCGAATAAAAGACCTGTACCTCTACTCAGCTTCAGCTTTGATCTTGGAACAATGGAGAGCCCAGCAGAGAAGACTGAACCAAACCAGAAACATTGTGCTCCTTGACATGTAGAAGGAGAGGAGTCCGCTACAAGTTGTGGGTAATAACTGGTTTGAAATTACTAGAACGGTGTTCTCCCACAGAATTCAAGTCTGCAGTGCGTGAAAAAAAAACGCATTTCACAATATATTGGTGAGGGAATTTTGAGGCAGAATTTTTCTTAGACAAGAGTTTATTGACATGTTTTACATCACATCTGTTTCACAGCCATGCTTGAGATTTGTTTCTGGCTGTAGCATAGAGGGGAAGAACAATGTTAAAATAGTTTGGATGTCTATCCAACTTCTCAGCAAGCTTTTTGTGACAAATAGCCACTTTCAAGAGTGCAAAAGCGTGAAGCACAAGAGCACAAAGATCTCTGTTAGTGGAAGCAGCAGTGGTCTGAAAAGGAGGAAGCCTGTTGAGGAAACTTTTGAGAGACTGCAGCCTCTGATAACTCTCTCCTCTGTTAGGTTCTTTCCTTCTCTTTTCTGAAGATTACTGTGTTGACTGAAATTTGAACGGGTAAGAAAGATGAACACAGACATAAGTCATGTCTTCGTATACCTGAAAGTGTATTCCTGAAATTCAGCTATCAGCAGAACTGCATGTGCTGTAAAAATCTTCCATGTCTTCTGATTGGGATCAAATTTTCATTTTTGTTTCCAGTATGGTTCTCTTGTCCATGACTCTCAGCTCTACTTTAGTCAGTGTCCTAAAGGAAATACATATTAAGCAAAATTCACCCCAGACACTTTCAAGCATGCTTGACCAGATCAGGTTCCTGGGGGTCCAACCCAAATCCTTGAAATTAATCTTTTGCTGATTCTTCACTAGAAAACCTGCTTATTATTCGGAGGCCTTGGATTATGTTTATGACTCTTCCTCACCCAATTATCTGAAACAGCTATTTTAATATCCTCTCTATATGTTTGTGAGCGGTAACTGCCTTTTCCATTTCCCCTTTGCAGTCTGTAAGAAGCTGTGTCGTGGATGGGTAAGGGAGACAACAGAATCAATATTTGTTCTCCCCTCCAATCCACAGAAAACATTTTCAGAGGACTGGGTGACACTTTTTAATACAGATGCCTGTCTATACAAAAAACCTTAGAGTTTGAACAAATAATCTAAAAAATGTCCTAGATATTCCTCAGCTATTTTGGTCGTGCTGGCATGCAAGGAAATTTCCCAAGTGTAAAACACTACTTAGGTACTAAGGGATCTGCCTCCAATTCTTGCAGGTGTATTTCAGTAAACAGTGTCCTGTTGCTTTCCCTTGAGTGATTGTTGTGATTCTTCATCGGGAGTGAAAGAGCAGGTGACTGGAAATAGCTGGCGCTGAGTTTGTGAAGTTCCTCTTTAATGAACCCTGACTCTTTCAGTTCATTGTCAGCTGTTTAAAACACTGATTCAAGTGCTTCCTCCAGCTCAGTACCTGAACTGTTTGCTGAAAGAAGGAAATATGATGCTCCAGAAGAAGGGTCACTCCATTCTAATGTAGCTTCTTACAGTCTTTCTCTTAAGCATCTGCTACTGCCTGGTATCAGGGGTGAAGACTGACACAGTTTCACTTTGGCTTGGCTCTTGGCTCTTACGTGTTTGTGCTCTTTGCTGGTAGTGGCTTGGTTTGAGTGATAATATACTGAGAAAAGGAGTTGATCTGAAGGCATTAGAAGAACTGGAAACAGGAACTTAGGTATTGGCAATAGTGCTAGAGATTTTATGTCGGGAGATGAGAAGTCACAATTGTTTCTGATTTAACACAACCAAGTACTCTGGACAAGTGACAGGAAAGCCTCAGGCTTTGGAGGCTTCCTCTGATTTTACTTAGGAAGGACAGAAAAGGCTAAAAATCTTTCTGTTGGAGGCGTTAAATAGTGGTAAAGTAGATGAAAGGAACGTCCTAGCCTTCTGTGTTAGTGGATAAGGAGAGACACAATTATGCAATACCGCAAAGAGAGATACGCACGTGTGTGCCTCTGTATAAGTGTGTAGTTGAACCATAAGGAGTTTAAAAAAAAAAATTCTCTTTGTAGATGTGTTTTTCTGTATATTTTACTCTGGGAATTTTCAAAGGCAGATGGTGGGATTTTTTTAACTGATCTTTTTCGGAGTCACCTTTTCCTAGAGCTCAAAGACAGGGCCTCTTGCACGCCCTCTAGGAAGGAATGCAGGCAAGGAGGGAGCTAAGGAAGACTGCAGCTCCTACTCTGCGCTCAGTGAGGATGTAAGGCCATGCCAGCCTGCATCCAGGCCGCATCTCAGACAGGCATTTGCCACTGTCTGTTTCTAGTGTTTGGGGAAGCGTGTGAAACCATAAAGGTGTACATGGACACGACTTTTCCTTTCCGAGCAGTGTAATCTGGCTGCTATGACTAGAGGAACTTCACCAGGCAGGAGAAAATATGCTGCCAATCTCTTTGCCCAGCTGCATTTATCTGTCTCCTCCATGGAGCTATGTATGCCACCCACGCACCCACATGTGGTGGTGTTACCTCTGAATCTCACAGTAGTCTAGGAAACCCTGGAGCATTGAAGCAAAAACGTCCAAGGGCTATTTTTCTGCTAAAGGATAGGCTGCCTACAATATGAGGTGATGTTACCTCTAAGTCTCACAGCAGTCTTCAGGAAACTCTGGAGTGTTGGACATTTTTGCAAGCTTGTCTGCAAGCACAGCATCTTCCTGCAGCCTGTGCTTCTGAGACATGGCCAGGGTACAGAGCGCTTACTCTTTCAGAACAAGGTATGACCACATTGTATTTATGTCGTGTATCAGGAAACACAGATGATCACAGTGGTCCAAGTGATTTCTGGCTGGTGTCAGGGAAAATTCTGGATAGGATGGGTCAACCATGGGTGGTGTACAGCTGGATCTTCTGTTCACTAAAAAGAGTTGCTTAGTGGTTGATAATCACTGGCAGTTGTTGCTGTAATGCTCATGAAATAGTGACATTCTACATCCTGTGGGGAGCAAGGACGGCAAGTAGAGTACATATGCTGTGATTCAGGTCAGTATACTTGGCTTTAACCAGTGAACTAGTAGGTGTCATCTCATGGGAGGCAGCTCTGAAGGGGCAAGGAACTTCAGAAACCTGGCAGGTCTTTAAGGAGAGCATTCTCCAAGCACAGGAGTAATCCACAGAAAGATTGATCAGAAGACTGACTTGGCTAAACAGGAAACAGAGGTCCAGTGCGAAAATGCAGCTTTCAAGAGTTGGAAGCAGGGACAAGCTACAAAGAAGGAATCCAGAAGCAGGAGTAGGCATGTAGGGGTGGTTTCAGGAAAACCAAAGCTTGCCTGTATTTGACACTTGGAAGAGATATCAAAGGCAACAAGAACTTCAGCCACTGCTTTGGTATCAAAAGCTGATCAGGTAAAATGGGAGCTCATTGCTGAATGAAGTAAAGGAATCAATGCCAGTGGACAGTTCCAAAAGGAAACCAATACAGTAGATTCTTTTTTATATTTGTTAGGAAAAGTATTGGTGAGAGAGGAAAAACTGGCTTGCTGAAAAGAATTTTAAATCATAACAACTGGGAATTGAGCTCTGTACCTTTATTACATGAAGGTTCAACCCCATGAGGATCAGGAGGAAGAATCTGTACTGGGATGGTAAAAGGAATATCATGTTAGAACTGATTTTTCTGACAGCATGTGTGTAAAAAAATCAGCTTGTGGTAACCTGTCAGAGCTTCTGTGGATGCTCCTCATATAAATTTCTGGAATTTATTAGGAGACCTGCTGATAGCACCTGCCTTTTTTGAACTGCCTGTGTGAAACGATATTTGTAAGACCTCTGATACAAGGAATAGTGTTGTACTTAAGTAAGAGAGCTGTTGTAAGTGAATACTGTGAGGTAGTTTAGATTGGGTAAGGTATCTGTACATTTGCTTTAGCACTCGATCATTGATGTACTTGGTCTTTAACATGTTTGGTAGCTAACAAGTTGAAGGGCATAAAGGTTAATGTTTTTAGTCATTTTTTGTAGTCTATCATAAACTGAAACTGACATTGGTAAGTTATGTGTGTAGAGCTCTGATCTTGTAAGTATTCTTGACTCATTTTCTTCCTCAAAAAGTATGTCAATGAAATCAGTAAACGTACTAATGTGACTAGAGTGAATTGGCTCAGGTGAATGAGGTGAAGGGGGAAAATTCATCAAGGCTTCACTTCAACTGCAGTTGCATTGGTCTGCGTACTGTGGTCCTTGCAGGCTAAGGACCTGGGACAGCTTGCATGACTGGAATGCTGTCATAGGTGGCTACATAGTTTTTTAGGAAAGACAGGCCAGCAAGGTGAGGTCGTGAAGTTGCTCTTTATGTGAGGGAGCAACTGGAGTGTATCAAGCTCTGCCTGGGGGTGGATGAAGAAAGAGACGAGAGCTTATGGGTAAGAATTAAGGGACAGGCTCATATGGGTGACAGTGTTGTGGGTGTTTACTACAGGCCACCTGATCAGCAAGGGAAAGTCGATGAGGCCTGCTACAGACAGCTGAAAGTAGCCTCACGATCACAGGCCCTGGTTCTTATGGAGGACTGCAGCCACCCTGACAAGGCATGGCCCCTGGGGCTCTGTAAGCACCACTAGACACCTGCATTTTGACTCCTGACTCGGTCCCTGATGGGGAAGGGGAGAAATTGGAGGCCACATCCCTGGAAATGGAGACCTCATCCCTGGAAACATTCAAGGCCAAGTTGAATGGGGCTCTGAACAACCTGGTCTAGTTGAAGATGTCCCTGCTCACTGCAGGGGGGTTGGGCTAGATGACCTCTAAAGGTCCCTTCCAACCCAAAGCATTCTATTATTCTATGATTCTGTGACAGCTGCTGGAAAGACCACACAGGCAGGCACACACAGTCCAGGAGGTTCCTGCAGAGCATTGATGATACCTTTTTGACACAGGTGGTGGAGGAGTCAATGCGGAGAGGTGTGCTGCTGGACCTTGTGTTGACAAATAGAGGACTGGTTGAGGATGTGAAGGCTGGGGGCAGCCTTGGCTGCAGTGACCTTGATATGGTGAAGTTCAGGATCCTGCGTGGAGGAAGCAGAGCAAAAAATTAGGATCACAGCCTTGAACTTCAGGAAAGCTAACTTTGGCCTCTTCAAGGAGCTACTTGGAGGAATCCCATGGGTTAGGGCTCTAGAAAGTAGAGGGGTCCAAGAGAGCTGGTCACTTTTTAAGCATCACTTCCTCCATGCACAGGATCGGTGCATCCCCAGGAGTAAGAAATGAAGCAAAGGAGGCGGGAGACTTGCATGGATGATCAAGGAGCTTCTAGTGAAACCCAAATGGAAGAGCAGGGTCTATGGAATGTGGAGAGAGGGACAGGCCACTTGGGAGGAATATGGGAACATTGTCAGAGCATGCAGGGAAGCAGCAAGGAAGGCTGAGGCCCACCTGGAATTAAGTCTGGCAAGGGATGGCAAAGACAACAAGAAGGGCTTCTTGTACTACATTAGTAGCAAACAGAAGACTAAGGAAAGTGTGGGTCCACTGCTGAATGAAGTGGGTGCCATGGTAACAAGACACAGAGAAGGCGGAGTTACTGACTGCCTTCTTTGCTTCAGTCTTTAGTGCTAAGGCTGGCCCTCAGGAAAGGTCCCTGGAGGAAAGAGAGAAAGCCTGCAGGAAGGAGGACTTTCACTTGGTTGGGGAGGATCGGGTTAGAGATCACTTAAGCAAACTGGACACCAACAAACGCATGGAGCCTCATGGGATGCACCCACGAGTGCTGAGGGAGCTGGCAGGTGTCACTGCTGAGCCACTCTCCATCATCTTTGAAAGGTCCTGGAGGACAGGAGAGGTGCCTGAGGAGTGGAGGAAAGCCAGTGTCACTCCAGTCTTCAAAAAGGGCAAGAATCATAGAACCACAGAATCACAGAATGGTAAGGGTTGGAAGGGACCTTCAAGATCATCTGGTTCCACCCCCCCTGCCATGAGCAGGGACATCTTCCACTAGACCAGAT